AGGGAGGGGCTGGGGATTTAGCTCAGTGGCACAGCGCCTGCCCGGCAAGCACAAGGTCGTGAGTTCAATTCCCGGTAATGGAAAAAAAAATAATAATAAATAAAAAATAAAAGAAAAGGGAAAGGAGAGAAAAAGGCAAAGCCAGGCATGGTGGTGCACACCTATAACCACAGCACTCAGGAGGCAGAGGCAAAGAGTATCATCACAAGTTCAAGGTCTGTCTGAACTATGTAGTGAGTTCAAACTCTGAAAGAAAGGAAAAAGGGCCCTTTTTTTCTTTTATACTTACAAAAATCTGTCTCTATAACTTTAATTCATTGGGCTGGGCATGGTGGTACACACCTGTAATCCCAGCCCTCAGGAGGCTGAGGTAGGAGGATTGCATGGAGTTTGAGGCCAGTCTGGGCTACATAGTGAGCTCAAGGTCTTTCTGAACTATGTAGTGAGACCCTGTCTTGCAAGAAAGAAAGAAAGAAAGAAAAAAAGAAAGAAAGAAAGAAAGAAAGAAAGAAAGAGGAAAAGAAAAAAGAAAGGAGGGGGAAAGGGCCCTTTTTACTTTTATACTTACAAAAACCTGTCTCTATAACTTTAATTCATTGGGCTGGGCATGGTGGTGCACACCTGTAATCCCAGCCCTCAGGAGGCTGAGGTAGGAGGATTGCATGGAGTTTGAGGTCAGTCTGGGCTACATAGTTTGTTCAAGGCCAGCCTGCACTACATAGTGAGACCCTGTCTCAAAAAACAAAAACAAAATTCTTTCACTCATTGGTCCTTTTCTTTCCTCTCTGGATCAACAGGTCATATGTACATGTCATTTCTTCAGATAACTACCATACTCCCACCAAGTACTTGGGGGGCGGGTGTGCTAGGACTTAAACCCAAGGCCTTGCTATGTTTGTCCTAGTCCATGCCACTTCTCAGCTTTGACAGAATTACTCTTTTCACACCAAGCATTCCCTCAAAGAAGTTTCTGTCCTGCTAATTTTCACACAAATATTCCCATGATTCTTCCATCCCTCCCTTCCTCTGGTGCTGGGCATCAAACCCAGGGCCTCACCCATGCAGTGGTTTATCAGCAAGCTACACCCCAACCCTGGTTTGAACTTTATCCTACAGGAACCTAACCTGACAGTCTGCTCTAGTTCTTGGTTCTCCAGTAATTCTAAGCTGTACCAGTTGTTCATTTTAACTCATGATCATACTGGCTCCCAGTCTCAGTTCTTAGATTCAAACCAGCTGTAAGTGCTCCGGTGTCTCCTGGTTCCTGAATAGAAGCATAGGGGCCACACTGATTTGCTAGATTCTAATGATCTGTTGTGCTAAAGTCCCCCCAACCTGTTTCCTTTTTTGAAGCTCTGACTGCACTAATATGATTGAGCAAATTCCTTAACCTCTCTAAACATGTGTCCTCACCTGTAAAAGAGGAAACTGTAACATCCACCACATCTATCATTGTTGTAATGGTCACATTAATAATGCAGAAGACGCGTTATCACAGGGCCTAGTGCTTGATAGATGCAAAAAAAAAACAAAACAAACAAACAAACAAAAAAACCGAGTTCAAGGTCAGCCTGTACTACATACTGAGAGCCTGTCCCAAAAAGACAAAACAAAACCAATACTGTAAAGTTTCACCAGGTTTCAGCAGTTCAGCAGGCTCTCTCCTGCCTCCGTGAGGATGACTTTTTCCAAGTTCCTTGTTATTTTACAGCCATGACAAAAAATAGCCGTCTCATCACCTCCATTAGCTGAATAAGTTTTAATCAATTTTTCCTTCGATCCGTTTTTCAGTTAAGAGACTGAGGCAGGGCTGGGGATATAGCTCAGCGGCACAGCAACTGCCTGGCAAGAGCGAGGCTGTGAGTTCAATTGCCAGTACCAGAAAAAAAAAAAAAAAAAAAGCTAAGGCAAGAGAATCTTGAATTCAAAGCCTGTCTGGGCTACACAGTGACCCTGTTTCCATAAATGAATGAGTGAATGAATGACTGCTACACACATACATAGTAACAAAAAACAGTGGGCCTGCTGGCACAGGCCTGTAATCACAGCACCCTGGGAGGCTGAAAGAGGAGCATTGAAAGTTCAAGTCCAGGGGCTGGGGATTTAGCTCAGCAGCACAGTGCCTCCCTGGCAAGTGCGAGGTCATGAGTTCGATTCCTGATACTGGAAAAAAAACCACCCCCCCCCCACAAAAAAAGAAAGTTTGAGCCCAGCCTGGACAATTTAGCAATTTAGTGAAACTCTTTCAAAAAAATAAAAATGGGCCAGGCGTGGTGATGCACGCCTGTAATCCTAGCACTCTGGAGGTTGAGTCAGAAGGATCGAAGTGAGTTTGAGGTCAGCCTGGGCTACAAAGTGAGTTCAAGGCCAGCCTGAACTGCATAGGAAAATCCTGTCTCAAAAAAGAGAAACAAAAATTTAAAAACTGGCCAGATCTGTCTTAATGATAGAGTGCTTATCTATCATACAAAAGCCTGAAAGAAAAAAAAAGTTAAAAACTGGTTAGGCTATGCTACAAAGCAAGTTTCAACAAATTTCAAAGAATTGAAATTATACAAAGTATGTTTTTTGCCTGCATGGTAGTTAAACTAGACCTCAGTAACAAGGTAACTGGAAAATTCCTGTCTTTAGAAATTAAGAGCTGAGTGTGGTGGCATATGTCAGTAACCCTAGATAGCACTGGGGAGGCTGAGGCAGAAGGATCACCAAGAGTTAGAGGCCAGCTTGAACTACACAGTGATACCCTATCTCAAAAAAAAAAAAAAAAAAGCAAAAAAGAAGTTAAGGAATAAGCCTGGCATGGTGGCACTTGCCTGTAATATCAGCACTCAGGAGCTCAGAAGGCTAAGGTAGGAGAATGGTCACAAGTTCAAGGCCAGTCTGGGTACATAGTGAGTTCAAGGCAAGCCTCAACTAAATAATAAGACCCTGTCTCAAAAGCAAAATTAAATTTTAAAAATAAAAAGAACTGGGGGGTGTAGCTCAGTGCTAGAGGATCTCTGAGTTCCACCATACCGGGGGTAGGGGGTGAATTTGAAGGTTTTCATACATCTCAAGACCTAGAACATTAGACCCAAAAGAAGTAAAAGTAAGGAAATATATACAGAAATATGCCTGGAAGTGGGTTGGGGAGGTAGCTCAGTTCAGTGATAGCGTACTTGCCTAGCATGTGTGAGGTCCTGCTTCAGTCCCCAGCACCTAAAATAAATATGCAGAAATCTTGAGACAAGAGTTCCACATGAGAGCGATGCCAGCATGGTGACATTCTCCACACTCGAGGGAGGCTGAGACAGAAAGAGCTCAAATTTGAGGCCAGCCTGGACTATATAGTGAGACCCTATGGGGACCCTTTGGGAGGGGGGACCTATGGGAAGAATTCTATATGTATTTATCCCACCTGTTAAAAACAATGAATAAACAAGGCTTTTCACTGCATTATAATAGCAAAAGACTGAAAACAATCTAAATATATCCATCATGAACCGAGAGTAGTCCCAGCACTCAGGAGGCTGAGGCAGGAAAATTACCCCTGGGAGAGCAATCTCTAGTGAAGTTTTACAAAGCTGTGCCTTAGCTTTATCCAGTATCCAAAAGTCTCATGGAAGAAATGTACAGCAGGCTAATAAAAGACAAAAACCACACTTACCACAGAAAAACAACTTTAAAATATATCCAACATCCATTTATGATTTTTTTAAAAAGCCCTCAATATATAGGAGGAATAGAAAGGAACTATAAAGGGCATCTATGAGAAATTTAAGGCCAACATCATACTCACTGAAGAAAGACTGACTTTCCCCCCTAAAATCAGAACAAGACAAAGCCAGATGAGTGGTGCACACCTGTAATCCCAGTACCCTGGGTGGATTGCCAAGATCTAGGCCAGGCTGGGCAATTTAAGGATTTAGGCAAAAGCCTATTTAAAAAAAAAAAAAAAAAGCCAGGCGAGGAGGCGCACCCTTATAATCCCAGCACTCTGGAGGCTGAGGCAGGAGGACTGCCACAAGTTTGAGGCCAGCCTCGGCTACACAGTGAGTCCAAGGCCAACTTGAACTACAGAGCAAGCCCCTGTCTCAAAAAAAGAAGAAAAAAAAAACTACTTTCAACACTTATTCAACATTGCATTGAAGTTTCAGCCAGGGAAATTAGACATAAAAGATGCATATCAAATTTGTAAATGGGCCATAAAATTTGATGATTGAGAGAACTGGATCCAAAATTACTGCCACAGCCTGAAAGGTAAAATTTTTTTTTACAAAGGAAACTGGGCCTGGTGGGCACGCCTGAATTCCTAACGTGCATCATTGGTTATAAGACGATTCCTTCTTGGATGAATTAATTTAAAAAAATGTCTAGGGCTTAGCCAGTTGAATACCAACTCGGGGGGAACTAAGAGAAGCCTTCTTGTAACTTCTAAACTTTTTTGGCACTAATAAGAATTCTCTAACTCGGTTGTGTTAAATCTTCACCACAGCAATTGTATATTATACTTTGATAGCTATCATTCAACACCTTAACTGCTTTGGCCTCTGCTGTCCCAGCTGCATTATACGTGTAAGCTAAGGAAGTTTCCCTGAAGAAGAAACGCGTGAACTTGCGTCTCAAGGAGGCAGCGCCTACAACAATGCCGGGAAGAGCCAGAAGAGTTAACGACTCCTCAAATTTGGGAAGGTGTCAGAGGGATTTCTGAGATTGCGTCTCTGACCATGAACGGAAGTCCCTCTGAGTCATTTTCGGAGGTTTATTGATAGGTGCCATCTTCAGGACAAAATCATCCGCTTCCATTCCGGTTTTCCCAATATACCCACAAGGAGTGACCAGGTGGCAAATTTGTCTTCCTTGCAGCAAGATAAAGATTGTAGTCACAGACGTCGTTACCCAACTCCTCATCTTCCCACAGTAAAGATGGCGACAGCTTGACCGTAAGTTGCAGGCAACACCACTTCCGTACTTCCCTTGTGCCCTGTTCCAAGATGGCGGACGAGGCCACTCGCCGAGTAGTGTCTGAGATCCCAGTGCTGAAGACAAACGCCGGACCCCGAGATCGGGAGTTGTGGGTGCAGCGACTAAAGGAGGAATATCAGTCACTTATCCGGGTCAGTTGGGCACCGATAGTCGACTGCGTTGCAAACGGGTTGCGGGTAAATCATGTGTCCTCAGAAATGGGCTCCGTGTGGAAACCTTTTCCGGTTTTAAAATTTAATTTATAAATTCATAAAAATGGAATAACTGTGGATATGGTCGGTTAAGGACTGGTATTGAGGAGTAAGCAAAACAGCCTCGGGTTAGGAGCGCAGTGGGGCTAGACCCTGTAGTTTAAAACAGCAATGTTTTGGAGTTACACCTCCCTAGAAGGTGACGTGTCTTTCCTGCTCCAGATGTTTGCTCTCGTGGATGCCGGAGAGGTGCTCAACAATACTTCTTAGGGCCCTAAGCCCCAGCACATCTCTTTGCGCCCTCTTTCACTTTTACCGGGGGAGGAACGTGCGCTATGGCTGAAAACTCAAAGAGGTGTTACTTGTAGAGTTGGGGAGTAAAACTCATAGATAGAAACAGCCATCTTCTCAACTATTCCTGCTATTAAAAAAGAACATTTATCTTCTTTGTAGTGTGGTCCCTGTCCGATTGAAAGGCCAGCAGTTCTATTTTATGTATTCAGTTAAAACAATTTTTTTTTTTTTTAAATTTAAGATCTAGATAAAAGATTAAGATTTGGAGCCAGACATGGTGGCACATGCCTGTAATCCCAGCACTAGGGAGCCTGAGGCAGGAGGATCACTGTGGGTTCAAGGCCAGTCTGGGCTACACAATGAGTTCAAGACCAACCTGAACTACACAGCAAGACCTTGTCTGAAAAAACAAAAAAGATTTGGGAGTCATTGGCACGTGGGTGAAAGTAGAAACTTGGATATATGAGGTCACCCAGGGACAGAGTATACCATGCAGTTATGGGCTGAGGGTAGACTTTATAAAAAGTAAGAAAAGATGATAGATGGTAACTCCAACTCTTTTGGGCCTGCTAAATAGGATGGGACCCAAGCACTCTATTCTTTTCTCTGGGCAAGCCTCTCATTTACCATTGTAGCCTTGTCTTCAATTTTTCTTATGTCAGAAAAGTTGGATAAACATACTGAAGGAGAAAATAATTACACTTTTCTTTTGAGGTGAAGGGGGCAAGCCCATGGCCCTAACACCCTGTCAGAGATTTCTTCTTCTACTTTTAGTATGTGGAGAATAACAAGAATGCAGACAATGACTGGTTCCGGCTGGAGTCCAACAAGGAAGGGACCCGGTAAGCAGACCCTCTTGGGAGGTGTAGGGTGGGAATCTTACTTGGTTTAAGCAGTTTGGCATCCCAAAGCTCACTATCAGAGCTGTCATACACCATTTTAGCTGTCTTTACTTCCACACTCCAGAGTTCCCCATTTCCTATCCCAGGAGTCTCCTAGGTAGGTGAACTAAGTCACTGAATATGAGAGGAATGGACAACTGGACTGAGGTTGGGTCTTTATTACAGGTGGTTTGGGAAATGCTGGTACATCCATGACCTCCTCAAATACGAGTTTGACATCGAGTTTGACGTGAGTGTTGGGGAGTGGGAGATATAAAGGTTAGTAGAAGGGGAGAGATTAGGTGATTGTTACAGACCAACTTTTGTGTGTGTGTGGTACTGGGGATTGAACCCAGGACATTTACAGTGGACTACCTTTCCAGCCCTTTTATTTTATTTTGAGACACGATCTTGCTAAATTGCTCAGTTTGAGTTTGAATTTGTAATCCTGTCTCAGTTTGCCAGAATGTTGGGATTATAGGCATGAGCCAACTGCACCTGGCTAAGCTCACTTTTCTGGAAAGTATCAAAGAAGCTGGGCATGGTGGTGCATGCCTGTCATCCCAGCACTTGGGAGGCTGAGGCAGAAAGATCACCACAAATTCAAGGCCAGCCTGGGCTACATAGTGAGTTCAAGACAGACCTGAACTACATAGCAAAACCCTGTCTCTGAAAACAAAAACCAAACAAAATATCAAAGAAAACTTTAACAATGGGAGGGGAAGTTGAGTTTTGAAACAAATTACAATTACTAATTTTTGTATCTAGAATCCTGGTATGTAAATGCCGTTTGAGTTTGCTGAACATTTTCAACCAAGTATGTTTGGTTAGATTAGTTTCTCTCTATCTCAGTTCTCTGTTTCATTAAGGCTTTATAATTTTTCCAGATTCCTATCACATATCCTACTACTGCTCCAGAGATTGCAGTCCCTGAGCTGGATGGAAAGACAGCAAAGATGTACAGGTAAGACTGAACACAGGAAAAGAAACTAAAGAAGCCCTAAGGGAAAAACTCAAGAGGCAGATTTTCCCAGAGTCTGCTGGCCTACAGGGGCTCCAGGCCTCCCTCCCCTAAGCCTGGGCAAAGTACATAACTGACTTTGTTCTGAGCAGTAGTAGTTGTCTGTGCTCCCAGAGAGTATGGTGAACTTTGCATGTCAGCCCCCTCTTGTCCCTCTCATAGGGGTGGCAAAATATGCCTGACTGATCACTTCAAACCTCTGTGGGCCAGGAATGTGCCCAAGTTTGGACTAGCTCATCTCATGGCCCTGGGGGTAAGTTTAGTATATTTGGTAAACTGGGCTGGGGATGGGGCTAAGCAGTGTAAGAAAAGTACCTGAGAGTGAACAAGAAATACAATAACAATGTTGTCCCTTTGGCATGTTCTCCTACAATCTCTTCTGCTGAGATGGAACCAGTGGAACAAGGGGCATTGACTTGGTGATACTAGTCTCACGGGGTTTCCTTTGCATTGCAGCTGGGTCCATGGCTGGCAGTGGAAATTCCTGATCTGATTCAGAAGGGTGTGATCCATCACAAAGAGAAATGCAAGCAATGAAGGCTCAAAACACTGAGACAGGATAGAGGGACCTTTGATAGGCCCTGTTCCTGTTTTCTTGTGCATGACCTCTGATGGCTTCCCCCTAGCCTTCCACCTCTGGTTGTTACTAAGTAGCTGCCTCAGGCATTGCTGCAGGGGAAACCTGCAACATAGTAATGTCAAAGTTTCTAAGTTAGCCGCCTGTATGGACAGAGGAAAGACTTGGGCTTTGGGAAACCAAGAGGCAATTTATAGCCTCTGTCCGGATAGAACAATGGAAGCCTTGATCCTGGAGGCATAGGGGGAAACTGAAAATGCGTATATAGCCCTCTTGGTTTCTGGACATAATCCATCAATAAAAGCTGCTTCCTGTGTTAGCCTGTGGTTTTCATCGGTGGCTTTTGTTGTTGTTTTTGGTTTTTGGGACAGGGTCTCTGTGTATTTCAGGCTGACCTTGAACTCACCGTATAACCCCAAGGTGGGCTTTAACTTATAGTGATTATCCTGCCTCAGCCTCCCAAGTGATAGGATTACGGGAGTGTGCCACCACTCTTGACTACATTGGTGGCTTTTAACAGGATGAGCAGGCTAAAAGTGGAGGCACTAGAGAACGGGAAACGGAAGATGCCCTCATCAGGAACCAGAGAATGAAAGATTTGCTGTCCTTGCTGACGAGATCTGCCTTCAGCAGTGAACCACGTTTTGCTCTCTTAAGCCTGCAAGGAACTTGAGGAATTGTGGGAGTCGGTGATCTCACCGTGGTTCCCGGGACAACAAGGAATGGTTTACATATCCAGCTTCCCCTGCCTTCTAGGATCTTCGCATCCTAATGCAGAGTGCTAGATGCTTCTTCACTGATCTGCTGGCTGGACCCAGGCCTGCAGCTTGCCACACTGGTACCCTGCCTGACCGGGAAGAATTTGTGCTGCGAGCCTTGTGACCATTTTTCGACTGTCAGGTCTACATCCCGTGTGCCACACATGGGCGACTGGAGGCTAGACTCGCTCTGGAGCAACTCGCTTTGGAGCAACGGTTTAAAGACCACTCTGGCCCAGGCTGGGAACTAGCGGTTCTAAAGTTGGCTTCGTTTCCATGGTGTCGGCCGCGGAGCCGTGGGGGCGGGCTCACGCAAGCGCCGAGGAGGCGGGTGGAGGCAGCTGAAAGTGGGTGCGCAGGCGCCTTGAGAGACAGTGAAGCCGGTGGTCGGTGGCCGGGCGGGACCAACAAAGATGGCGGCGGCCCTTGCGGCGGGAGCGACCTGGGCAACAACTGCGGTTAAAGCTGCAGCCTGGCCCGCAGGGAGGCTGCACGGGGGTAGGAGGGGGTGGCCTTGAGCTGGAGCCTGGCCCCGGCTGGCCTCCCCCGCTGCTTCAACGGGGGACAGGTACGGGCCGGGGCATCGTGGTGGGGTGTGGGTGGGGGGCGGGGAGCCAAGGGAAGACAACTCCGGACCCCAGAGGACATTCTTCACGAAGGCAGAGGCTCGTGGGGACCCAGTGCGGCCTGGGAGAACTGGGCTAGAGGGACAGCATTCCCGGACTGCGGGGAATACGCTGCCGGACCCTGTAGCCAATCAGCGGCCTCGGCCTTTCTGCCCTCGAGGGGGGCGGACCCGGGTAAAGCCCTGCTGTGGTGGGAGAGGTGCAGAGATTAGGGGTCTAGGAGTTGTATGTCTTCCAGCCTGTTGCCCCCTGAGCCCCAATCCATGTCGGAGCTTGGAGGTGGGGGAGGGAATGGGTTGCAAATCACCCATTCAATCTGCCTCATCTGCAACCTGGTGGGTTTGAAGATGGAGTGCTGTCTTCTGGGTTGTTATCCTTGTATCCACACTCCCATTTGACCAAGGTTCAGGGCACATCCCACTTGACTAGCTAGGAATGAGGAGGGCTCTTGTTACGAGTTCATCGAATGTAAAGACAATTCAGAGGGAGACTGTGAAAGGCTTGTGGAGCTATGTTCTGTAGGGACGAGGTGGGATATAGAAAGGGTCAAAGTCATGAGCTGCTTAGTCATTTAGCCATTTGTTCACTTGAGTGATAACAAGTGTTTTCTTCGTGTCAAACACTGTGCTAGGTACTGGGTTCTGATAGACCTGATTCTTGCCTTCAGAGCACAGAGAAGGTAGTATGGAAGTCTAAGTTCTCATATTCCTCCGTGTCTCAAATGTTGACCCTCTCTTCTCCTCCCAGGTCCAGCTTGCGGTGTCCACAATGCCCCAGGCTTCTGAGCACCGCCTGGGCCGGACTCGAGAGCCACCTGTTAATGTCCAGCCCCGAGTGGGATCCAAGCTACCATTTGCACCCCGAGCCCGCAGCAAGGAGCGCCGCAACCCAGCTCCTGGGCCAAACCCCATGTTACGACCTCTGCCTCCCCGGCCAGGTCCCCCTGATGAAAGGCTCAAGAAACTGGAGCTTGCCCGGGGACGGACCTCAGGCCCTCGTTCCAGAGGCCCCCTTCGGGCAGATCATGGGGTTCCTCTACCTGGCTCACCACCACCAGCCGTGGCACTGCCTCTCCCATCCCGGACCAACTTAGCCCGTTCCAAGTCTGTGAGCAGTGGAGACTTGCGTCCAATGGGGATTGCCTTGGGAGGGCACCGTGGTGCCGGAGAGCTGGGGGCTGCCCTGAGCCGCTTGGCACTCCGGCCTGAGCCACCTACTTTGAGACGCAGCACTTCTCTCCGCCGTCTTGGGGGATTTTCTGGACCTCCCACCCTGCTCAGCATACGGACAGAGCCCCCTACTTCCCATGGCACCTTCCATATGCTATCTGCCCGGCCCTCTGAGCCTTTCTACTCTGATGACAAGATGGTAAGGACTTGCCAGCACACACAGCCTGCCAGCCTCTGCTGCTCTGTATCTGCAGCTTTCTTGCCGTCCATTGCCCCTTTTGCCTCCCTTTTCCCAAAATTTCCGTTCTCAGGCCCTCATGACAGCAGTAGACTCTGTCATCTCCCTTATTTCTGGGGCCTTTTAGACCCTTTTCTGGGTTGTGTGTGACTCCAAAGCTGGTGTGCCCTTTCAGTCCCCAGGGAATTAACCCAACTATTTAGAATTCTTCTGAGTCCCCAGGCCCTTTCTTTCTCTTACTGCACCTTCTCTCCTAGGACTGTGTCTAGGCCTAATTAATCTCTGGAGCTGAAGAGGGGCGGGATCAGCACATCTGAGCTAATGTGGTTGCCCATTTCCTGAGCTAAGTGAGCTAGCCTGACTGCAGTTAGAGCCAGCAGGAGAGGGTGCAGGAAAGGGCCACGGGGGCAGGAGGGGGCTTTGGGGGCAGCAAGGTGGGAGTGGGGAGCAGCTGGGCAACGATGCCAGTGCTTGGGGAGTTGCCCCAGGAGCTGCAACGCCGCCTAGCTGGGCAGAGGAGTAAGTGGGGACTAGGTGGGGCAGCCATGGCTGAATCTGTAGTGCACTCAGCTGTGATGGGCTTACTGCTCATGACCAGTGAGGTAAGGAGACCGGAGAGGGAAAGAGGGTAGAGCTTGGGCGTGAACAGGCTGGGGGAGGCAGGGGGAAGCATGCTGTTGAAAGATTTCAAGTAGCGTGTGGGGGGACGTACTGACTGTACTCTGACCTTCCAGGCTCATCACACATTGCTTCTGGGCTCTGGTCATGTTGGCCTCCGAAATCTGGGAAATACAGTAAGAGCCATTCTCCTGTCCTTCCTCTCTAAATGGATGTGAAATGATGCTGGGGGTGGGGATACCCTGCGGACTTGGGAAAGACACGGAAAGAGCACTGAAGCTCTCCTAAGGCTGCATTGCATCGGTCCGGAGAGATAACAGCAATGTCCCCACTGCTCCCCAGTGCTTCCTGAATGCTGTGCTACAGTGTTTGAGCAGCACTCGGCCTCTTCGGGACTTCTGTCTTCGAAGGGACTTCCGGCAAGAGGTGCCTGGAGGAGGCCGAGCCCAAGAGCTCACTGAAGGTTGGGTAACAGTTGCTGTTCCCTTTTCCCCAAGCCTCTTGAAGGTCTGTCTGCCAGTGCTTATGGTCCCCAGCCCTTTAATCTGATAGTTGTATCCACTTTCCCAGTGCCTGCTTTCCTATGGATTGTTTTTTTACCCTCTGAGCTTCTTTCTGCTTATCTCTTTGAGACGTTTAATTTGTGTTCCCTTTCCTTACTCCCACCCCAACAGCTTTTGCAGATGTGATCGGTGCCCTGTGGCACCCCGACTCTTGTGAAGCTGTGAATCCTACTCGATTCCGGGCTGTCTTCCAGAAATATGTTCCCTCCTTCTCTGGATACAGGTGGGAGAGCTGGAGGGTATAAGATTTCTCACTGGCCATATCCGGGGGTAGGTCAAGCTGGGAGTCCTGCAGCACTGTTCTGAGCCGTGACGTGCTCTCCATCTAGGAAGTAGGGATCCATGCCTGGGCAGAGGACTGGGGGGCGGTCAGCTGCTCATATTCTCTGTCTGGCTATAGCCAGCAGGATGCCCAAGAGTTCCTGAAACTCCTCATGGAACGGCTACACCTTGAAATCAACCGACGAGCCCGCAGGGCTCCACCTATCCTGGCCAATGGTCCAGTTCCCTCTCCACCCCGCCGAGGAGGGGCTTTGCTAGAAGAACCTGAGTTAAGGTAAGGGTTGCTCCCCCTCCCTCCTCTCCATAGTAGTCAGTGTCCACATTCATCTTTCATGGAACGGAACTAGTTAAAATTAGAGGAGATCTATTAGCATAAAAAAATGGTTTGAAAACCAGTGTGGAAGTAGAAGGAAGGAAGGAGGGGGAGGAGGGAGGCTGATAGATGCAGATGGAGATAGAAGATAGTGCTAGATATGTTAACAAGTTGAGGGAGGAGGGGATAATTAATTTACTGCAAAGTACATAAAAAGCGCTTGACGCCAGGTGGAGGAAGATAGCGTGTTCTTCTCTTGTGTACATTCCTTTTTTTCCTCTTACTTTGGATTCTCCCAGAAAATTCCCTGAAGCATTACCCTTTAACTAGAAATTTAGGGAAAGATGTTGGGCATGGTGGCACATGCTTGTAATCCTGACACTCAGGAGGCAGAGGCAGGAGGATCCCTGCAGGTTCAAGGCTAGTGTGGGCTACATAGTGAGTTTGAGGCCAGCCTGGACTACATAGCAAGACCCTGTCTCAAAAATAGAAAAACAAAAACAAACACACACACAAAATAAAATTGAAATTTAGGGAAGGAGCTGGGGTATTGGTGGTGTACAGGACTCTGTGGATCACTTCAGCAGTGTTGGGGGGTACCCAGTGTTCCTGCTGTCTCATGGGTATCCTCCCCCACTTCCCTTGATCTATGGTAGTGATGATGACCGAGCCAACCTAATGTGGAAGCGTTACCTGGAGAGAGAGGACAGCAAGATTGTGGGTATGGAATGGGATAAAGCAAGGGGGAAAAGTTTGGGGGAAAGGGGTTTGAGGGGGAGAAAACTGATGCTGTCAAGGTGTGTGTGAACAAGACTGGCTGATGATGTGAGATGGTGTCAAGAGTTGTTAGGAGCATTAGTAAGGGGTGGGAAGAGAGGATTCCAAGAAAGTATCGCAGGCGTCTAGCAGTGACTTCTCCTGCCCTTTTGCTTCCTTCTGTCTAGATCTGTTTGTGGGCCAGTTGAAAAGCTGTCTCAAGTGCCAGGCCTGTGGGTATCGCTCCACGACCTTCGAGGTTTTTTGTGACCTGTCCCTGCCCATCCCCAAGGTGGGATTCCAGAGGATTCCAGGGGTGGATGCAACACAGATTCTGTGACCCAACCCTACCTACCCACACCGTGTGGGTGGGAACCCTGTGGGTCTCTAGAACAGAACTGAAGCCTAGATTGATTAAGAAGAACTGGAAAAGGAAATTCAGAACATGCTGACCCTTACTTCCTCTTTCCCCCCAGAAAGGATTTGCTGGGGGCAAGGTATCTCTGCGAGATTGTTTCAGCCTTTTCACCAAGGAAGAAGAGCTAGAATCAGAGAATGCCCCAGTAGGTAGAGGTTCACAAGGAATACATAAGGGTGGGAATCGGAGGGGTGGCACATATAGCCAAAAGGGGATGCATGTTGCTCCTGAATGCAGAATAATAGTTATATCTCTGGGTTTGTCTCAGGTATATCCTGACACAAACTCATAGAGCCGAAGGGTTGTGGTTCAGAGGATACAGAACTAGTGGGGAGTATACTAAATTTGAATGTGGACTGGAGCATCCGAAAAGCCAACTGAGTGACAGCCCGTTAACCTAACACTGTTTGCCATTTGTTCAGGTGTGTGATCGATGTCGGCAGAAAACACGAAGTACCAAAAAGTTGACAGTACAAAGATTCCCTCGAATCCTCGTGCTCCATATCCTAATCCTTAAATTCTTACTTCTCTTAGGCCATCTCCCATACATTCACTTTCCTCAGCCTCCATGTCTGCAGAGGTTTGGGAGTTGAGTTTTCCTTTGGAAAAGATTATCTGCCCACCTTTCCCTACCATTTCCCAGTATGTGTTGGGGGAAGGGAGGAGACAGCATTTCGGACTACAGTCCCTCTTAGACACTCTCCACCTCCTAAATGCTTCTTAACTAGAACTTAGATCTGAATCGATTTTCCACCTCTCGAGGCTCCATCAAGAAAAGTTCAGTAGGTGTAGACTTCCCATTGCAGCGACTGAGCCTAGGGGATTTTGCCAGTGACAAAGCCGGTGAGTGTGGTAGGGAGGGTCCTAAAGTGCCCCAGGAGGGGCCATGGCTTTGTGGGTAGAACTTGATCATCTCTAACCCCACAGGAAGCCCCATATACCAGCTGTATGCCCTTTGCAACCACTCGGGCAGTGTCCACTATGGCCACTACACAGCCCTGTGCCGGTGCCAGACTGGTTGGCATGTCTACAATGACTCTCGGTGAGAACAGCCTCCTATTCAAGTCCTTTCCTATTCCCACTGCAGCCCTAAAACACTCCCTTTCTATGAAACCCCAGGAGGCAGAGTGCTTGCTGAAAGGTGGGTGGTCTCCTTTTCTCTTCCTGAGCACTCACACCTTGTCTTGTGGGGAGGGAATGTATAGTAATGACTACAACGCCTTCCCCATCTCCCTTCTTCCTAGCGTCTCCCCCGTCAGTGAAAATCAGGTGGCATCCAGTGAGGGCTACGTGCTGTTCTATCAACTAATGCAGGAGTCATCCCGGTGCCTGTGACACCCCCTTTAAGCCCCGGCACCTGAAAACCCCTTCCAACACCCTTAAGCCCCCCAGCCTCCCCATTTACCTCAGAGACGTCTATTTTTGTGTCTTTTTAATCGGGGAGGGGGGAGGGGGTGGTTGTAGCTCCCATTATTTTTTTTATTAAAAATTACACTTCTACCTGGAGGCTCCCTTGTCTCCCAGCCCCGTGTACAGAGCTCACCAGGCCCTCGACCATGTACAGCCCCCAGGACCTCTGAAATCTCACTTTTTGTGAATAAATTTAATAAGAAAGTGATGCTCTTATTTGTGTTGATGCTTAGGTCGTGGAGATAACAAAACAGTTAATGGGAGTCTTCCTGGGACCCAGTTCCGCCTCTGAGCGGGTGGGGGCGCTCTCGGGACGGGACGGGAGGGGTGAGGCGTGCAGCGGGACGGACGTGCGCGCGGAGCGGGGAAGACAGTATTGGGAGGAGACAGAAGGCAGATCTTAAGGCTGGAGACGTTGCTGGGAGGCCTCAAACCAGAGCCCGGGCACCGAGACGACGGGTTCTGCCGAACTTGGGGGCTGCCCCTCGAGGGCGAAACATCCGAAACCCCTGTTGACAAACACTGGCTACGTTGCCGGGCGGCCCCAGCTCCCGTAGGCCCGGGCTGTTGCTAACATCAAGGAGCTGTTTATGGAGCCGTCTCCCCGCGGACTGGCCCCGAGTGTCCCTGTCTACCTTTCCTAACACCAAAGCTCACGGGGCCTTCCCTCCAGGGGTCTCACCCTAACTGGGCCTGGGAAGCTCGAGCTGGAGAATGCTAACGCCCGGACTCGCCGTCTGGCCCCTGAACACGCGGTGACAACTCTCTAGGACGCGGCACCGAGCCGGTTAACCTCGCAGTGCACTGATCTGACTCCTACGGCCGCCGTCGCCCTGCCTCATGGCGTCATTGCCAATTGAGTGCTCTCATTGGTGAATGTGAGCAAGGGCTCACCAATCCAGAAACGAAAGGAGGTATTCGGACTCACACCGCCTATAGAGTGGACGGAGCGTCCGAGGGACCGAAAAGGTTGGGGGCGGGGGTAGCGGACTGGAAGTACTGTACTTAATAAACCGGTTGAGATGCGGGAAACAGAGCCCCTCAAAGTTCAGGTCTGCAGCCTGCCGGCAGAGGCCTGCAAGAGCAGATAACGTGGGTGTGGTCCTTATCTGAACCCTAGTCCTTGGAGAAGACTTTGCACTTCTACCTCCTCGGTCCTTCATTTTCTCTTGCTTCTAGCTATCTGGTGGATGAGTCCTGGCCCCTGGGCAAAAACCTCGCTGTTCCACCCGCCCATTCACTCACGTGGGGTAACTTTCCTCTAATCAGTAAGTGGCCTAGGTTGGAACGCGGAACCTGAGCCCTTTGGAGCACAGGGTGCCCCGAAGTCTGCCAGTCAGTATCGCCCCCTGTCCCCAGGCTTCCCGATGGGTCGTACCGTGGTCGTGCTGGGCGGAGGCATCAGCGGCTTGGCCGCCAGTTACTATCTGAGCCGAGCTTCCTGCCCTCCTAAGGTAAATACCCCACCTATGCCAGAGGCAACCGAATGTTAATACTCTTACATTTCCAGCAAAAGTTAGATGGATCCTGGCCCTGGGATGCCCCCTCCCCCACCACCCCCAACCCCAGCTACAGATGGTGCTGCTTTATCTCCCACTCTTTCCAGGTGGTCCTGGTGGAGGGCAGCAAGCGTCTGGGAGGCTGGATCCGCTCGATTCGAGGACCGGGTGGTGCAATCTTTGAGCTTGGACCTCGGGGAATTCGGCCGGCTGGAGTGCTGGGAGCCCAGACCTTGCTCCTGGTGAGAGGCTTGTGGGGTGGGGAAGAGAGATGGTGGAGGGAGCTTTCACTGAGGGGGCCGGGCCTGAGGGGAGGAAGTATACTTAGTGGGTCAGACCTTTCCTTAATTTCTGCTTTCTCTGGGGGGCTGTGGAGAGCAGGTTTCTGAGCTTGGCTTGGACTCAGAAGTGTTGCCCGTGCGGGGAGACCATCCGGCTGCCCGGAACAGATTCCTGTATGTGGGCGGTGCGCTGCATCTCCTACCTACTGGCCTCAGGTAACAGCATCACTCCTTCAGTGCACGGCCTTCCACCTCGGCCTCATCCTCACACCCTCCAGTTAGTTATCCCCGTCTGTCACTTCTTTCCGCAAAAGGGGCCCAAATGAATGGAAATGATGCCGTGGAGCTGAGAGGGGAAATCAGGTGCTCCCTTTTCACTGTACCTTCCTCCATGCAGGGGGCTACTCCGCCCTTCACCCCCCTTCTCCAAACCTCTGTTTTGGGCTGGACTGAGAGACTTGACCAAACCTCGGGGCAAAGAGCCTGATGAGACCGTGCACAGTTTTGCCCAGCGCCGCCTTGGACCTGAGGTGACACTTCAGAGGCCTCAAGCCTCTCTCTTCCCAAACCAGCTGC